TTTTGCGGAACCAGGGATTGAACTCAGGCCGTTGCGCTTGCCAGGGAAGTGCTTATTCCACTGAGCCATCTTCCCAGCCCTGTTATTTTTATTTTTGAAGAGACTACAAAATAGTATTTAAAAAGAAATAATACAAATGATACAGAATTTCACTAAATAAATATGAATTTGACAGTATTTGTTGCATTGCATAGTGTTCTCTTCAAATTAGTTGTTCAGATTACCAGATATATGCATGCAAAATTGGAAAAAGAAAGAAAAAAAAACTTATTTCTTAAAAGAAGTTATCTATATAATTTCTTTAAGCCTAGGTCCATATTCAGAAGGCTTAACTTGCACTGAAAAAATCAGCATTTAGATTTTGGCATCAGCTATGCACTGTTAGCCTGTCAGTCACCATCTCCCTACATAGCAGGAGCACCCTCAAATTAGCTAGTTGCACTATGCTTAGGTATCTGTCTCAATTTCTACTTTATTGATGTGGCCAGGTTTTGCACACATGTATACACACGTGTGCATGTGCACGCATGCGCACACATCCCCCCCCCACAGAAGTTGGCTTGTTCCTTCAAGGTTGTGTCATGGTTTTCATGCCTAGATGGTGGTGATAATAGTAATGATGAAGGCAGTAATGTAATAAATTAATTTCTGCTTATGCCCTAATAAGTAGTTATTGATATTACTGACAGAAGGTGGCTCCATCTTAAGATGCTCTAAGAGAAGAAAGATATAGCTGTTATCTTCCTCCATCACCCCAGGAGGTAGAAGCTGACTAAAATGTCATGGAGCTTGAAATAAACGACAAAATTTCTCGGAAAGAAAGCTTGCTGTATAGCAAAACACTCTGAACTGCCACTTTTCAATTTTCACTACCAGTTCTGGCACTTCAGAGAATTTTAGGACCTTCCTTAACTCTTCCACTCAAGCCTCAGTTTCTCTACTTGTAAATAAGCAGGAGAAGGGTGAGTGACAATAGTCAAAGGGACACTTTCTAACAGGTCACTGCTGCATTCCCTTCAAACACCTCTAGAGAGGCAGCCCAGTGGCACTAGTTGTAGCTCAAATGTCTCTTGATGCCTCTGAGAGGTAATTTAGAATCCCATGGGGAGAGAAATCTGGGACCACCAGCCCTAGCTTCTTTTTCACTGCAGCTGCTATGACAGAGCTGCGTTTTTCTTTCTCTGCTGCTGCTTTAAACTCTGTCAGCATCAACTTACCGAAGCTTCCCAAATGCTAAACTTTCTTTGGTGGTACACCTGCCAACGAAACTGCCACAGTTCAGATCCCAAAGAGGTGCTTCCTGACTGTAGTAGCATTTTCTGACACAGTTCTGAGGTTAAGAAACCACAGCATCCTGCTGGGTTTATTCTGTTCTAGGCATCCCCCACTTAGGCTCTCTTATACTCCTTCAGTGATCCTTCCACATTTTCCAACTGCCTCATCTCATGTGAACTGGTACACCCCAAAATCTGTGCCAACCTTTCCAAGAGGAACCTTTCTGTACTGGTAACTAGTACAGAATGTGGTACGCAGCCGAGTCTCCACAGCTCCCTCTCAGTTCTGAGCCACAGTTCTTAATAGGTGCTTTGGGAACTGGTGCAAAAATGAAACCCAGAGTAAGGAAAAGCAGAGTTGATGAAGGCAGATTAGCGGGAGTGGGATAATAAAAGAGCCTTTAAATCTGGCTCTTCCAATTGCAGGAAGAGCCAGAGGAGCAGGAAAAGTAGGGAGTGTGAGATTGGAGCAGCAAACACTTTGCCAATGACTTTGGGGCTCCTGCCTGGATAGACAGGGCGGGGGTCATCCAGGGCTCCCTATTGGCTCCCGCGCCAGCCCTTAGATTTTCTATAAAGGGCTGCTGCAGAAAGCACAGCTGGCGCAGGCTGAGGCTGCTAGTGGCAACGCGTGGCTCCGCCTTGTTCACAGCGTCAGCCGGCCTTGGATCTGCAGATTTACCGACTGATTGAAGGCAAGAGAAATTGAGTCAGAACGACCCGACCCAGGACTACGCAGAGGAGAAGCGACGCCGGAGGTCTGCAGGTCAGAATAGGCAGTGCGTGTGCTCTCCAAATGAGCGGCGCATTCCGAGTCGGCAGCAGCGTTCACCTACCCCAAGCTCAGCTGCCCAGCTCAGCTCTACGCATTTGCCTATTCCACTCCTGGCTGGTTCACAGCGCTTCTTTCCTCTTCCCGCTTTAGATGCTGGAGAATGCCTTCTTAGCTCAGCGCTGCAGCTCACTGAGCATTTTGCCCAGCTCTCCAGCCAGGGCTTCACCGGTTCATCTCACTTTCCCGGGCGCTCCCTGACTTAATAGTTTAAGGACCTGACGGTCCTCCAAAGGCATCAGTCTGGAAGCCCCGACCGTAGAATCGCCCCTAGGGGCATTTAGCAACCCTGGCACCATGAGTTATGGGGATGAACTGACCCCTGAAGCTCTAAGTGTGCCTAGTGGTTTTGATGACCTGATCACCACCACCACCTCACAGGTACTGCAAGCCATGTGCAGTGCCGCCTCTGCGATTGGTCGAGCTGGCCAAGATAGGGTGCTCTCCATGATGGATAAGCTGCCAGACAGTATGTCAAACATTGGCGACCTGGAGGACCTGCCGGGTCTCCTAACTTCAGAAGTAGTGTCCCAAGACGAGCAGGTACAATTCTGGCTAGTGTTAGGGTACACCGTAGTGGTCTTTGCTGCTATCTTAGGCAACTGGCTTTTAAACCATGTAATTATGAAGTACAAGAAAGTGCACACCGCCAGTGGCCTCTTCGTTGTCAACATTTCTGTCACCAACATGATGCTGGCTCTTCTCAGCTCCCCGTTCACCATGGTAAGCTGGGTGAGAAGGAGGGTGGCTGGGAGCAAAATGAGAACTAAGGTACAACTTTGTACTTGTAATGGAGAGAGCAGTGTGTCAGAAAGAATTGCTGAAACCAGTTGCTTTGATTGGGAGACCATTTGCAGAGACTGGAGTGGCTGAGTACATTGCAAAAGGTTTGGAAATTGGGTTGGGAAGCAACAGAGAGACAGGCAGTATTGTATGTGCTTTGCTCAATTAATCTCTTCCCTTGGCAGAAGCTACTAGAGACTTAAATTATTATTATTATTATTATTATTTTATTTTTCATGGTACTGGGGATTGAACTCAGGATCCTGCGCTTGCCAGGCAAGCACTTACTCTACTGAGCTATCTCCCTGGGCGCTAGAGACTTAAATTATAACAGGTGGTAGTGGAGACCTATTGTAGGTGGGCTTTGGACTGACAAGTGAATCCAAGTTTTGTTACAAAGACACAGCCTCAGTTTCCCCACTTTTCAAAAAAGCATTGCTTAGTCTTAAAGGTGATTTACATCTTTTGTGATTTGCTGTCCTGCCTTGTCTTAAAGCTGGGCTGTTTTGTGGGAGAAGATGGGAAAAGCATGAAAAATGCAATGTGGAAATATTTCTTTGCTTTTTGAGATAATAATGCTAGCAGTTTAGTGAAGCGAGGAAGGTTTACTTGTTAGAGTGGTGGATTCAGCGTTTAGTAATTGTGCCTTACCTGACCCTTATCTACTATAGGTACGCTATGTTTGTAATTCCTTGGCTCTTGGGAAGATGACATGCCATCTTAGTTGCTTTGCACAGTTCTCTTGTGCCTATGTAACTGTGATGACCATGGCTGCTATTTCCTTGGACCGACATCGGGTATGTGCCTTTCAGTTCTTATAAAGGGATGTATTTTTCTTTTAGGTAAATAGAAACAGGCAATATCACACAAAATGTAGAAATTTCTTAAGACACCATATGTGAATGCATATGCATAGTTTAGGGGGATTGCAAGATGGTGAAATACAGACCCTCACCAACTTAAATCTTTTATAATAAAATTGCTACTATTTTCATATGGCACTATGGGAACAAATAATAGAATGCTCTTCTTCAGAAAGCATTTATTATTTACTGCATTGCAGAACTAGCTGAAAGAAGAGAGAGAACAGATGAGTCAGGGATGGGTGTGGCTTCAGGGTTGCTGCTAGGTTGAGTCTGAAAGGTGGGTGTAAAGTTACTTTTTGGGGGGTGTAAAGTTTTTGAGGGAGGGTTGAGGAGTTAAACTAGAAGAGCATGAAGTGATGAGGAGCTCAGAGTTGGTAAAATGTTTGCCAATGACTTAAAAGGAAGTGGTTTAGGCCTTAAGAAGCTGGGAGGGCTTACATATCAATCAGTTGGGAGAAAACCAGAAAATGAGATAGGAAGGACAAAGGGGAAGATCGAAGATGTGGCTGAAGCCAAATGAGACAGAGGAAAGAGGGACACAGGAGGAGACAAAGAAGGAGGAAGAAGGGAAAGGTCACAAGGAGCCAAGTGTGGGTTGGGGGGTATGAAGAAATATGTGGAGGGCACACCCATCCAGTCATCATAAAAGATAAATAAATTACACATTTGGACATCCATTTTTCTCACAAATCTCCCTACTCAGGACATGAGCTTTTTTTTTTTTTGTATTTAGTACAGGGTCTACAGGATCCTACTACACAGATCAAACTTGTAGTGACCCTGCTGTTTTAAGCCTCCCAAGAGCTGGGGACATGAGCTTTAAAGAAAATCTGTAGATTTCTGACTTCTATTCAAAATGATTCCCTCAATATTAGCTGTTACTCTTTCATGAGCAAAATGTCACATATTTTCAAATGGAAAGAAGTATCCAAAATTACTCAAAGCACATTATCTATCCACATATGAAGTCTTTGTACTTTTGCACAAACTGAAAGTCAGTTGATAACTAAGTAATTTGAATTGTTGAATGTAAATGGGTCCCTTTGCTTCCAGGTGATGCTATACCCCCTGAAGTCTCGTATTACTTTGATGCAAGGCAATGTTTGCATCATTATCATATGGATCCTGAGCACTTGTGCTGCTTTGCCTCATGCCATTTATCAGAAGCCTTACCAGGTGAAGATTGGGTAAGAGAAACATAAGATGATTGGTGTTGGAATTCCAGCAAACATTAATTTTAGAATCCACACGAAATAAATCACAGCATGAATAATACCATTCAAAGCATGAGTACAAAAATACATTTCTCTTAACTGAAATTTATCATAAGCATTCCCAGAAACTCTCATGGTAATGGATATTAGGCATATCCTTTTCTTTTTGGGGGAGATCATAATTTTCTTATGTCACTTGAAAACTCTGTATAAAGTAAAAGTTAGCATTCCCTTGGATTTAGGTTCAGTGTAGATACGAATAGTAAATATGTTTCTCCTTCAAAGCATACCTGTCATGCAACAGCTATCTGAGGGTCATAAGAAAAAAGCAAAAATATGATGCTTTCCTTTCTTTGTCTTGTAATCTAGAAACAGTACTGAGGATACTGCCTGCCTCCCAAGTTTCCCATATACTTCAAAATTTACACGGAAATACCTTGACCTGAGCACCTTTTTGCTTTTCTTCATCTTGCCATTGATGGTATTATTGGTGGTCTATGGTCATGTGGCCAAGAAGCTGTGGATCCATAATGCTGTCGATGATATCAATATCCATACTTACATCTGCCAACGTGGGAAGAAGAAGCAGACTCTGAAAATGCTGCTAACAGTGGTACTTGCGTACACAGTCAGCTGGCTCCCCCTCAACCTCTACCTTGTGCTGCTATCTACTGAGCTGATATCAAGCCATAATGATCTCTACTTTTTCCTTCATTGGCTGGCAATTAGCAGCTCCTGCTACAACCCCTACATTTACTGCTGGCTCAGTGACAGCTTCCGGATTGAAGTTCAGAAGGTCATCGCGGAAGTCCAGAAGATGATGCTAGATAAAATCAGTCGCCTGAGAGGGGAGCATCAGCAACTAAGATCTGCCTCACCTACCCATCATCCTATCTTGGTGGATACTAATCCTGGAGTGCCCAAATTCCCCAGATTCAAAGATTTTGATGAGCTTCCCAGTCCCCCTCCCTCTCCAGTAGTAGAAATCTCTTTCATTTACCCATCAATGCCTAGAGTTTAAGCTGCCCAAATGTGATAGTTACCCATCATCAAAACATCTGAGATCAGATAAGATTACAACAACTAGAATTTATTCATTTCTCATGAGGGTGAGGCTGGTACTTGAGTGATAAGAGCCATGAGAACCACCATATGTCACATTCATTGTTTCATTTTTTATTTATTTCTCTTCCTGCTCCATTCTCCATAAAAACATGCCAAAAAAGGAAAATAACTTCTAGAAACTGTAAAAGAAGTAAAAACAATATTAACAAACTTCTGCTACTGTTGAATATTTCTGGGGCTTGTTGGTAGTCCCACATCTGTCTTACTGGCTTTACACTTTTGCTGCTGCACTTTCTGTAAACTTTGTAGTTATTTGCCACACTATTGCCTTCAGCAGTTTTGAGATGAAGTTGTCCTCTGCTTAGAGTGAATGTGTGCCTCTGCTATTTTTTTCTCTCACACTATCTTTCTTCTCCTCTTCTTAATAATTGTCTTTGTAACAGTGATGTACTATTCAGTGTCCTTTGATAATTCCTCTACAACTGTGAAGACTAACTACAATTAAGCTTTGGATACTCTGATCCTACTTGGGACAAGGAGGGTGTTTTTACGAGTTAGAACCATGAGCACTTATGACAAATTTCTTCACTTTCTGTAGTGTTTCTTTCCTTCTCAAACCAAGGATAAATTGGAAGAAGAGGATCAATTATAGTTTAAACTGCTTCTTTCCATTTTCACTTTAATATGTTAATCCTTTACCTCCTCTCCCTTGTTAGCAGTGAGCACTGCTTGATTTTTCCACTCTCCTCATTTAAATCATTCTTCTTTATCTAACAAAGGACAGAGATGTTTCTTTCCTACTCATTCTCATTTTGGAAAGGTAGCTACATCTCCAGACAGTTTCCTAACTGTTCAGGGTCAGAAAAGGAGAGTGCTGAATGAATTGTACCAAGTGCATCTTAGAGGAATCACACCTTGTTCTGTTATCCTCCTTCTCCTGTTTAGACATAGGAGAAATTTGGATAAAAGAGCTATCATTATAATTTAAATGATTATTATGCAATTGTATTTTCACCTAATGTTCTCTCATTCCCAGGAAACCCCTTCCTACTTCTGTTCCTATTCTCTACAAAAATTAAAAGCCTGTGTCTTCAGTAAAGTGGAGAACCTGGAATGTGCCGAGCTTAACAGGTAATCTGGCTTCAATATTTGCTGCAGACTTAGCTGGAAACTTTATCTGCAGGACTTCATCTGCTCTTCAGCTGTGTTGATGTATGGGATATTTGAAGAAGATGGCATCAAAATAGTCTGATTTTCTTATAGGGTTTTTCTTAGATTTTTTCAGAAGAACCTAGTCTGAACACAGCACCCGGGCAAACTGAGGGTGATACCATTGTAAGTAGTTTCTGGATGGGATATTTATTTTGTTGGAACATGGTAGTAATGAGCTCTAGGTCCTAGGCACTAACCTATTTGCAGCCATGTAATTCTATGGGTTTGAGCATTGTGTTGAAAAACTATGGACACGTGGTTTCAAAGCCCCATGTGTGTTTGTTTGCACAGACTGCACCACTTACCCTAGCCAGGCTTTTCCTAGACATGGTTACTAGCTGCCTGGAAGATATAGCAAAACTGTTGTGTAAATGGCCTTCCAAAACTCATTTTCACTTTTGAAGAAACAGTTTAAAGTGTATTCCTTAATGACTGCATGTTATTAGTTCTATCTTCTTAAAAGAATGGCATCACTTCTGAAATGTATATTTGAACAAGGAGAGAATGACAGTAATGACACACAGGAGAAGTTGCCAAAGTCTTCAGTTTTGCAAATTCAAATATATCCCAACCTGTGTCTAATGGCAAGAAACTACATCTTAGTACAAGCTAGAACATCTGGAGAAATGCTTTGGTGAAAGTAAGATTACACATAGCTGGCCTAATTTTCAGTCATAATGGGATAAGTTAGAGTGGTGGAATTCATCTAATGAGAAAGATATGTAGGGCGCTGATAATCAATCTTTTATATTGGTCACTTGTATATATAACATGGAGATTTTTCCTAGGTCTTTTGAGGTGAAGATCTTCACTGAAAAAATCTTCCCCATAGCTAAGGTATTTTTCTGTTATCCTAGTCACATTACACATACACTCACACACATATGCAAACACATATAAATATACCGACACACCTATACATAGCTCACATGTATAAACACACATAAACACCCACATACATATACAAGAATAAACGTTCACTGATACAAAGTGCATACACACAGATTATGTTTGAGAATATACCAGATTTTCATTCATAACACTTATCTCAAATCTAATTTTATTCTAGTCACCATTCTTCATTCAGTTATCTGTTTCAATGAGCAAATTCTGTGAGCTTTTCAACATTTGTATTATTTTGTAGGTGATTATAAGATGGCTTTGCACAATATTTCAGTCAGTAATCTATTTTATTAAAATCAGTTATAGAGTAGAATATGAAAACCCTTTAATAAGAAGAAAATGGTCCTTCTGACTAATGCTAGGAAACAAGAAATTAAATGACCTTTAAAAAAGATTGCACATGTACTTGGTGGGTAGCTAAAAATTCATAAAAGTTTCAACACTCGGCTTGGTCTTTCACTTATACATGTAGAGAAGAGAGAACAGATACCTAAAATAATATCCTTGTCTATTGTATGAGGAATTTTCTAAAATTATATGTGGTTGTTTCTTCATTAAATGCTTTAATAAGTAGTTTTGCACTAATTCTTATGAGGAATTTTCTAAAGTTGTATATGGTAGTTTCTTCATTAAATGGTCTAATAAGTAATTTTTCATGAGGAGAGGTTTATACAAGTGTCTATTTGGAACTTGGAACTCTACACTATCAGCAAGTGTCTGCTTGGCACCGTAATTATACATGTGGTACATCCACTTGCTACGCTGTCATTGCTGAAGTTTGTCAACATCTCTGGACTACGAAGTCTCATTGATGGACACTCTCCATAAAGGAGATGGATCATTGTAGACAGTATGTCTGTAGGAATGGACTTGTTTATTCTGATAATCTTCTTCACAGTTTTGTATGTGTCTACTTCAAGATCTTTCCCCTTATAATATTAATATAAATATCCTATACATTATGATGACTTTGTAATTCTTAAATGAAGATCTTTTGGTGTTTCTCAAAATGTTTGTTGTCACTGTTTTACCCACTGTTGGAGAATCTGGATTGGACTGTAGATTTCATTTTCAAATGTTCTGTTAAATGGAGTGTTCTTTAAAAAAAAAAAAAGCAAAGCACTGGATCAACTTCTGTTCTACACACAGCTTTGATGGTCACCTTTTTGATTTCTTAGGTAAGATGGATACTGAAAGAAAGATTAACTTTATCTGAATGGCCAACGTAAGCAAGAAGAAGATAACACAGATATTAGCTTAATGGAAAATTTCTAACACAATATATATATAGACCCTGAAGGAAGTATACATATTTAAATTTATATTAACAGGATTAGTTTAAATATTGCACCAGAATTTACTATTAACAAGTGAATCTTGATATTGTCTTATGACAAGTTGCTGGTGAAAATAAGTTTCATCAGTTTGAGGGTCTGTGAAGATATTAGAAGACATCTAAAAGAAAGAGACAGATACAGATCCTTTGAAACCTGTGATCTTCAGGGTTTCCCACTCAGAATACTAATATAAATGTGATGGCATATCTTCATTAATTGTTAGGAAATTGGTCTATTTGTAGGTTTAGACAGAGGCTGTTTATTAATCCATTTGTACCTACAACTTGGTACTCATATGGAAAAGTCTAGTGTAGAAAAAAGTCCCTCAGTAAGGTAAAGTTTAAATAAAATAATAATATTTTAGAATTTCCCAAGTAAAGAAAATATGTGACCCCTTGAACTTTGCAGTTATTGAAGTTTATTTTCTAATCTAATATCTCCCTGAACAATATCCCATGATTTTGTACAATGGAACTTTACCTGATGACACTGTAATGATTTTCAGATTTTTAGTTTTTACCACTGTTCATTAATTGCTCACAATAGAATTATGGACAATATACTAGTCCTAGGTATACAAGCACATCATATACTAGTTATTTGGTTCAAACCTAGTGGCTGTGTAGGCTGTGTGAAATTGAATATTCCCAGGGAAAGACTGTGAGATTGCCAAATTCTCACAGCTGCTGTGTTTAAAAGACACAGCAAGTAAGGCTCCCTGAGGAGGTATTGATGAATTATAATTGGATATCTTTATAAGGTAGAACAGAAAGTCTGAGTCATAAAAGGACAATGGACATTAGTGAGGGTACCCTGCAGGGTCATTTGTGTTACTCTTTGGCATATTACTGCTACTTTAAATATTCTTTATCAGTATCCCTATTACTCTGTAAAGTAATTCAATGTTTAGTTGTAGATTCTGGGTTAGGGAGGGAGGGACCTATAGTGGGTAGTATAAAGTAAGGGGGGTGGGAGTATGGGAAACGGGACTTCATTAAGGCATCTATGTATTCACACATGTATACTGAATAAAGCTGTTTGTTCAAAGCACTTCCAAACTTGTATATTAGTACATCTACTTGTAGCTGGTAAAGGGAGAGAATATTTTCTCCATAATATGTATTTGTGATTCACAGTGGCTACCATAAGGTAATATCAACACTGAAAACTTTTTTTGTGCTTCTCATAAGAGGACTGAAGTGGGAGTGGATGGGGGAGGAATTTAGGTTAAAGGGGAATCCTATGATCTCTCTCATGGAAAAACTTCTCATTGAGCCAGGTATATAGTTTACCCATGAATATACCAGTGACTCAACTCTCTACCTTCTGCTTTGCTAAGAGAAAAACATGTTGGTGTCTCATGTGAGGAGCTGTCAACAGAAACCCAGAGTTTACTCAAGGCTAGAATACCATAAACAAGTAAGATACTTGCCTCAATAAAGCTAAATCCAGAATTTCCAAGGTTTAGCTTCAAAAGAATTTCTAGGTGAGAATGAGAGCACAA